CTCTTAGGCAAACACTTATATTCTAGTTTCAAGTATCTCTATACTTCAACCTATGAGATCGATTGCTTACTTATCAAGTAAGGAACATAGAATGTACCAGTCTCTAGGTATCACTGATGTCCAGTCTCAATGGTATATTAAATAGGAACATTTAGAGAGTATGCTTTGATGCATAAAGATCTTATAACTGCAACCTATTACAGTGCCCTTGCAAGGCATATTAATCTCATCGACTTCATCTAATTAGACTTATAACTTGTTATAATTGATGTCTTATTGATGAAGGAAAACCTTTAATCATTCAACTTGATTGGAATCAAGCCTTAACAAATCCTAATTGGCTACAGAGCTTATCCCAACACTTGAGACAAAAGAAAAAATCGGTGAAAGAATAAGAGTATTTTAGACATTTCATGTTTGCTCATTAACTTCATTTACATGTTGGGATGGACTGTCCATTTCTAATACTAATGAACATGCATGGTATTATGACCAAAACTTAGAAAAGATCAAGTATTTTACCTTTTTTAAAAACTTCCCTTTGCTTAATTTCTATGGCTAGAGAAACAAAATTGGAATGTAATGTATTCTTGAAAGTACCTATTAAGATTGAATAGTATTCATAATTCTCCCATTACAAGTTGAATAATAATTTTTTTAATTTCAAAATAGTTTTAAATTATAATTTTCAAATTACTAATCATTTACTTAAAAATTTTAGAAAATTTGATGTCATGTTCTTCACACGGGAACACAGCTAATTTATATTAAAAATAAGTATTTATAAAAATTATATTAAAAACCACTAAAATAAATTTCAAATCTTACTATTTGTGTAAGGGATGATACAACATTCAATCAAGCACACATTTTGAAAATTAACTTCTTGAAACTAAAAATAAATTGAACCTTTTCTCTATGCCAAAGAACAATAATTGAAACTATTCAATGGTTTCTTAGAAAGTAAGCAAATCTTACGCCTCTAATTTTTTTTGTAAAAATTCCTATCATTTACTATTTAATCTTATATCTCATCAACCTTTAGTAACCAATATAATTTGATTTATAAATCTTTCATTTTTGTTTCTTAAATTTTCGTGATGTGAACAATATTTTTTTTGACATAATACTTGAAAAAGTTTTAAATTATTTAAGAAAATTTAAATATGTTTTTATCCTTCTATTATATTCAATCAAGTCCTTATAGTTTTTGTTCTAAATCAATTATGTCTTTATGATTAATGGTTGATTAATTATTTTTTGTCAAATTTCCAATTGTCATTTAGTGCCCACGTGGAGTTGACGTGGAGGATGAAAACGTCACATAATTATGTTATCATGTCATATCAATATTATGTGATATAAAATGACAAGTGACATTTTGATACAATTAATCAATAGTTAAAGTACCACATAGGTCCTTATACTATAGTGTTTTTGTCAATTTAATCCCTCTATCCCGAAGCAGATCAATTTAGTCCTTATATTCTGAGATTTTGTGCAATCGAGTCCTTCTACATAACTCCATCCAAATTGATAGTTAATTGTGTTGACATATCAAATGATGTTAACGTGGCACTGATGTGTCAAGTGAAAAAACTTTTTACTATGTTATAGGGATTAAATTAAATAAAATTGTAGAGTACATGGATTAAATTAAACAAAACTCTATAATACAACTAAATTAAACAAAATTCTATAATATAATGATTAAATTGAACAAAGTTTTATCATACATGGACCAAATTGGGTACTTTTACCATTTTTTGTTTAGTATTATTACATTTGTACCAAAAATGTACTTTTACACATCAAATAATTAAAAATTATTATTTTTTTATTTTACAAAAAAACGTACAAACTAATTACACTACCTAATTACAAAAAGATCATGTCTAATTGCAAAAGGAATGTATTTATAAAAAGAACCAATGGTTCACCTCAGTATCTAAAAGTATTAAGCTATAATTTTCAAGCATATGCACATGAACAAAACATATGCATACCTCTCAAAATACACGGATGGACTAAATTGAGACAAAATTTTTGTAACATTTGCCCTATGTTCACACTACTAACATTGCCTATTCTCAGCATCGGTTACGAAGTAACAAAAAAACAACAGATCATTTGACATTTTTTATGTACAAAAAAAAACATTCGACTAACTAGTTAAAAAACAAGTGCAAGACCTCATAAACCACAAAAACAAGTGTAACAGCAATTCAAACCACATAGCAAAATAACAACAAATAACATTTCACATTAGCACAATAAACCACACAACAGATCAATTGTCATTTTTAATTTTTTCTTGAGTTGGAAAATTAGCAACTAACGAATTCGATCTATTGGTTTGCTTCTTTTGTACAATTTCCTCTTGATCAATTCAAGAGGATCCAATTGCACACAATGTCATATATAATACAGAGATTAAATTATTGTTAGTTTTTTGAGTAGATGAACCAAATTGAAAAAGCACCCCATAAATTTTGTTGCTATTGCCACAAGAAATTGCACAAAAGAAGTAAACCACTACATCAAAAAAATAAATTTTGTTCAATTTAGTCTTTTTACCTGACGTTCCCTTATATAATGTGAAACAAAAAATGATAAGAGTATCCAATAAGCTCCTGTACTATAGAGTTTTGTTAAATTTAATCATTTTATCTAAAATTTCTTTAATTCAGTTCATATACTCTACTATTTATTGTAATTTGATCTTATGACATAACACAGAAAAGCCACGTGACTAATTTTTTTACATAATTTTTTTTATATATGAAATGTTAGTGTCAAAATACACCAACATCTCTAATAGTCAATTTAAACAAAATTACTCAAAATCCAATTGCACACTATGTTAAAATACATAAATTAAATTAATTGAATTTTAAATAAAGAGGTTAAATTAAAAAAAATGTTATAATTTGGATACTTTGACCAATAATCCGGTGAAACAAACAAACGAAGAAAGTAAGAAAAAAAGAAGACCAACCAAACGTGCTTTAAGAAAATTGAGATTGGAAATAGGCAGAGATGTTATTAGCACGTGGACCCATGTTGCCGCTGCACATGGTGAATCTCTATTTCGGTGCCAGCGGACGCGTGTAACTCAATGAGTCAAACAGTTTCTGCTCCCTTGTCTCTTGCACTATTTTCGTATCTTTTCTTTTCAATTCTAGTGTCACAGACTTCAGATTTCTCTTTCTCCCTCAATATTCAACCAAAATTGACACACAATACACTATTAGAAAGCTTATGGAATGCACTTTCCAACCATACTATTCCTTAAATAATTTCAGATTTAATCTATATGTCGAGCACATTCATAACATATAATATCATGAAATAAACATAAATATGTCAAATTCTTTTGGTAATGATCATAATTCAAATTTGAATTCAATATTGTTTTAAAATCTTTTTTTTTAAAAGTAACGAAAATGTTATGCTCATTTTCTTTTTGTCTCGATTTTGTCATTTTTATTCAACTTTCATAAAATTCAAGAAAATAATTTATATTTATATAGTTTATATTAAAATTTGAGTGTTATTATTATTTTTTCGTTTTTGGAAATTTAAATTCTTTCTCATGTTGTAACCATATTGCATTTAAATGAATGACGTTGAACAGAGTGACTCAAGGATGGCTGGAAGGACAAGATTTTGCACCTCAAGGATCAGGTCATTCGTCATCCCCTTGTCCAACTTTTCAGCGGATACTAACAGCTTTCCAGGTATTATTGGGGGAGGCATGGGGTAAAACAATTAAATACATATAAATTCATGATTTCATACAAATATATAAACGATATAATTAGATTTAAAATCTAACAATTTAATGCAAAAAAAAAAAGAATATAAGAGAAACTAAAAGATTAATAACAAAATAATTTGTATAAAGAATATAATATAACATATTTTAAAAATATACATTGCAGTATTTAGTTTAATCCATACTTAATTATATTTAAAAGATAAGAGTTTCATGGGCCGTGGTCTCGGCTTTGACAATACCGAAGCCCCATTCCTACCTTAGGCTCGATTTGGGCTGACCATTCTAAATAGATTTTTCGTGATCCAAAATTATAAAGGGTGAATCCATAATGTATCCTTTAATATTATAATGATTTAATATGAAATAATACTATTTAATGAATTATGTGATTATAACATTTTATATTAATTTTTTTAATAAATTAGATAATAACAATATTATATGAATGATATGAAATTATGATATGGTTAATAATAATAATGAATATATTATTTGGTAAAGTTTTTTATTTAAAAATTTAAATTAAATATATTTTCATTTTTATTCAATTCTTAAAATTCTATTTTGTCTATTGAATTATATATATGCAAAAATTTCAACTTTTTCTTTTTCAATACGAAGCAATATTATTTTTATAAAGCATGCTTTATGCTTTTAAAATTTTTTAAAATAAAATGAAAAAAAAAATTTTAAATAGAAAATAAAAACGATACCGAACAAACCTTTTGGACAAAGGAATTTAATTTATTGTCTTTTTTTCTAATTATTGTTGTATGTCATCTTAAAATATTATTATTTCACCTTTATATTATCTAACGAAGTTCTTTTCATGTTTCTTCATTTTTCTACCATTTCAGTTTCGTTTATTGAGGTAAGAACTAGAACCAATAAGTCACCACTCAGCAAGTATTGATTATATTTTATGTATAAATATAATATTTCATTAATTTTGTACCTCCTATTTATATATATTTATTTATTTTCCATGCATAAAGAACGTTATGCAGTGAATTTGGGAAAAGTTGCATTTAAAGGAGAAAAAAAAGAGAAGAGATATATAATAATTAATTAAATATTTTGACAGCTTCTGGGATTACTAGGAAGCATGAAAGGCATGACATCAAACTCGGTGGCTTCTGAATGCGTATTAAAAATGTATGAAGAAGGAGAAATAAATATAATCAACAAAACTGAGCTGACGCAATTTGAAGCACACTTTGTTAGTGGTAATGATCAAACACAAGCTTGCAATGTAGCAAACTTTGCTGCTGTTGGAGAGGATTCGCCTCTACAGGTAAGAATGTGTGATGTATCTCTCACAACACTCTATATCCTAACTTGTAGGCAAAATTATTAACAACTTCTCCTCATGGTAGACTAAGGATTTTTCATAAGAGGCGACCGAAAAATAATTATAAAAAAAATAAAAAATAGAAACAAATTGAAAATTGAGGGGTGACAGTTTTTACTCTTATCACCACCTTCGATCCATCCTGACTTTTCATACGAGGAAAATACCTTATAAATGTATTGTAATGTAGTTTAGCATAAACACTTGCATGATTTGTATTTAGTTTTAGATTGAGCTAAACAAAATTTTGTTTTGTGTTTGATGGTAGAGAGCAGAATGGATTAAGTTCGTGGGAGCTTTCACAAATTTGGAAAATAGAGCTAATCAAGTCTACAAAGCAGTGAGCATTACATGTTTTTTTCATGAAAAAAAAATCAAGATTATGTTTTAATGTTTTTTAAAATTAACTAATTAACCTCAAATGATGTTTCGACTTCATAAATTAAGGAAATTTTAATTCTACCATCTGATCATGATGTACTTACATTTTGCAGGTGAAAGACAATTATATGTGCTTAACTAAATTTGCAGAGGCCAAGGAAAAAGCATTCAAACCAATAGTGGCTTGGATGGAGTATTACAATGTTGGTATAAGACAACATGCATACATATGTTTAGGAACAAGCCTTATAACGTTAACTATACATATTAGCTATAATTTTGTCATTCTATTTGTCAAAAGCAGATTTTGGAAATTAATTTTCTCATGATGAGTTTTCAATTCTATAAACTATTTAGCTTTTCTTTGTGATTTTACCCGAAATTTACAATGATTTAGATATTTTGAAATTTTTTTGATTAAAAACGTTAAACCATATAGATGTCAGGAATAGAAACCCATTTTTTTTGCTATTGTTGGCATCTACTTAGCATAGAGAATCCTGGTTGATTTTATGCATAGTATTTTACTAAGTAAGATTTTGGAATTCCACCTCTTAGTCACTTCAATATCAAACTCTCAATGTTTTCTTTTCATTATATCATGAGAAGAATACATTTATCTTATGTATCTACTATTCTTTGATATATTTTACTTTATTTCTTTATATCATGATCATGTATATACTATGCAAAGTTACAAAAATGCACATGGCTATTTTTATTAATTATTCAGCAACATATGGATATTGAAAAATGATGAAAAAGTAAGGAAGAATATGGTTGATATATCACTGAAATTAACTTACCTTTTGGCACGCAGGGCATATGGTCTTTCACAAAGGAAACATATAAGTTAAAGGTATTACATCAATTTTAAATTTGTTCCATATATAGAATATATTGTTGTAGAAGTAGAATATGCATGGTTGTTTAATTAATTGATAAAATTATATCATACATCTTTTTTAACAATATAAATGAAGCACATTATGACTTAAATTTTTAATCCCGAAAACCCTGAAACATTTCAATTTTTGTTGCAATTTCTGTTAAGAACTAATTAATTACATATTCGGTATCCAAATTGTAATGAAATTATTGATTTGGTACTTGAAGAAAATAAATTTACAATTAACTGCTCCAACTTTTATTCTGTTAAGTAGATTGCCCATTTCACCAATTCTGTCAGTCGCTAGTCATGGCAAAAAATAACATGTAGAAGTTAGATACGTGACGTATTCTTATTTGTTGTTCTTTTATCATGCCACTCATTTAATTATAGAAGTTAGTTTTAGGGAGAAACTACTTAATAGAAACAAAATTTTAATACCTAATTGCGAATTTTTAAATTTTAGATACTAGATAGAATATTTGATAATAATTTCAATGTTAAATGTGTACATTTTAAATTTTAGATACTTTAACGGTCGACTTTTCTACTCTTATAATTAATATTATTTATATAATGTATGCTAAACTTGAAAATAGTACGTGGAAGATGCAGGAGGAGAGAATGTGGATGGCTCCATAAACAAGATAACCTATAATATCTCCAATCCAGATGATATTGAAGAACTGCATGCTATCCTATGTGTAAGTTATTATATGCTCATTTTGCAAGTATTTTATTGTGTTTTTATTAGTTAATGCTTCATTATAGATGTATAGCAAAGGCATTAATTTACTTATAATTGTTGGGTTTTGATTGCATTGTTTTGTTTCTAGATTAATGTTGCTCCAACATTTTGTTTTTCTCATACTAATATTTTCTTTATAACAATTCTAATATCTTATTATTTTTATTTATTTACTTAATTCAGACCATAGACATATTGATTGATGAAACATACACTTCAGATCCAGTTGGATACACTCAGGCAACATTCCTCCAAAATATAAATATTGAAGATGAATCTTGTTTTGGTTTTGTTACAAACCAAAGCTTATGGAGATATGATAAGAGAATTCAAAATCTAACTACTCTAGGTAAGATCTCTATGCATCTTGATATCTTCAACTGTTAGTATCACCTTATATATATTTATAAATTTTGTTTAATCTATTTGTTAAGTGACTTAATATTTATTTTTCTCCTCTTGTTAATAGATTTTCACATGATTTTATTTGACACCATTCATAAATATAATATAAATTTTATTTTGTTTATATTTTTTTTATGTTGGAAGAAGATTGGTTTGATGGTGCGGTGTCTCAACCTCAGTTGGTTTTAGCTGATCTTATTGAGATTTTGTTCCCAAGTGGAAACTACAACACCACATACTTTAGAAATATTGCTAAGGTAAGAAGAATCATTTGGTAATCAAATTTTTTGTTTTTCCATGTCTTTATATTTACATGTGATTAACATATATATATATATATATATATATATATATACATATTACTAACATTTAGGGAGAAGGAGTTATAAGCATTGGCCCGAACATGTGTGATAGGAATATCTCCACAGCAATGGACCCCATAATACCAGCTTGCAGATGATATTTGAGGGGTTTCACTTCCCATCTTGATTAGAGGTTTCACCTGATGAGTCGTTTGTATTCACTTGCGATTTTCTTTCTCAAAATTATTAATGTCAAAATTATATTTAAGTCCAATAAATATATATTTTTTATTTGATCATCACTTGCACATGCGTTTAGGCTCAAATAAATAATTTTTAAGCAACCTTTTAGCTGGAGAAATACACAAACTTTAAGCAAATTTAATTGAAAATGCATTTACAGTTTGAAACGCATTTAAAATTAACAATCTTCCCCTTAAAATATTCAAGATAAGGGACTGAAGAAGAATGAAACTTCCCTTAGATTTTCATTGCATTGTAAGGTATTTATAATACAAGAGGTATATATGATTAGACAAGTCTACAAGTTTGAATACGAAAATGTACGAATAAGATAACATCAGAATTTGAGTTGGATAAGTCCTTAAGCTTTTAATCTATCGGCTTAGTGTTTCCCTCCTCTTCTTGGTTTGAGTGCTCCCTCTAATATTCAAATGTGCTAAGGTAGAGATAGTGGTTGATGTGATCCCTCTTATCTCATTTGTATGCTTGGTTACCTGAAGTGTTTCATTGTGTGCTTCTTGTCTTGACTTGACATGCTTAGTTGATTTGAACTTTGGAGTGCTAGTCTTGTAGTTGAGATTACTGCATTTGACTCAGTTGATGCAATGGCAGTAGGTTTTGTTGACTCATTTGATGCAGTGATAATTGGGTCTGCTAGTGAATGCCTTCAAATATGACTTCACAAGATGATGACACCATCAGTGACAACAATCTTAAATAGTGTATGGTGAAATCTAGCTGTGGACAAGGGTTTGGTGAGTGCATATATGATTGATTTTCTATAGGAACATGTGAGTTGTCCTTGATTCACCTTCTCTTTGACCAAAAAGTAGTGGGTTTTTATAGGTATAAATGGCACTCATATTATCATAGAAGAATTAATATCGGAGTATTGGGAATGATCACCTTGAGTTCCTGAAGTAAGGATTGTATCCATGTGATCGTTGAAACAGTAGCTACAATAGCTCCATATTTGGCCTTTCTTGAAAATTTAGCTATGGTCTTTTGTTTCTTCGAGCAATAAGAGATGGGAGTGCCTCCAAGATAGATGACAGAAGGAGAAGTAGATGTTTTACCATTTGGATTTCCTACCTAATCATAAGGTAGAGAAGGCTTGTAAGCTGAGAGCAGATTTTTTTGTGATGAAGAGATTGTTAAGGAAACAAAGCACCCTTAAAGTACCTCATGATCCTCTTTAGAGCTTAATGATGCATTGTTGTCAGTTTGTGCGTAAATTGAGATAATTTGACAAAGCATATGTCAAATCTAGTGAGAGTGAGATATGGAAGAAACCCAACCAGCTGTCTCAATTCGTCTTCATTTGTAACGGTAAAGCCATTATTCAAGATGAGAGAAGTTGAGGTGGATTCCTCGGCTCTAGACATGTTGGCCTTGGTGAGATTATTACTGATGTACTTGTGTTGGGATAGGAATAGACATTACACAATAAGGGTAACCTCAATTCTTGAGAAGCAATTTTTTTTCTTGAAAGTTTATATTTCATTTCCAATAAACAGGGAGAGGATCTGAGTTACAAAAGGGAGTTTTCTTGTCTTTGAACCACATTTTGGACAAAGACCTCAAAACTTCAGTATGCCTTTGCCAATAACATCTAAACACATTTACAAAAAAATTCATTCACAAACGAACTCAGCTCAGTCAAAACACTTCCAGACAGCAAAAACTGGAGAGAACCAAAAGCAGACATTTCACCACAACCCCACCCTGCAACCAGACAAAGGAAACTCACGACTTTTTGGAAGAACTATCACCACCCATGATCGAATGGTGCTGAAACAAACTCCATAGCCTACCTGCACGGGAGACAGGAGCAAAGACTTCCCATAAAAGAACAAACGCCGGGGTTCACCGCAGAGGAGCACCACAGTAGGAAAAGACCCAACAAAAGCAAAAACCAGGGCACAAGATTGAGAAACTCCTCTCCAAGCTTCTTTCCTTTAAATTACCCTGAAAATTAATCACTGGAAAGAACACCCTAACAACAACACAGACCTCAAAAGCTGAAGCAGACAGAAACCAGCTTCCAATCAAGACATTTGGTAAAGAGCAAAACCCTTAAACTCCAGAAAGACAGAAACATCAGCATATAAAGTGCTTCCCAGCAAAAATAGCTAACCAGCCAAACATTCCAGAGCAGTCAAAAAGAGAAATCATGTCAGTGCAGCACATTGTACAGATCAAACTCCCTACAATACCCCCTCCTTTGCAAGCTTATCATCCAACTGATTTTCGCTCCTAAGAACGTGTTTAATTTCCCATTTACTCACTCTCGTTTTAAAATTTTCAATTCTTAGAACATAGACTCTATGTTTCCAAGGAAACGGTTCCGGGACTATGACCCATATGACAGCATTCATGGAATCCCTTTCCACCAAAAGAGCGCATGCATCAGCCTACGCTGAAGCAACAAAGTTAGTGAAAGCTTTCTTTATAGCCAGCATCTCAACAAATTTTGCATCCGCTTCACCAATAGACTTAGAGAAGGTAACCTTAACCTCTTGCTTTTTCATTTCTCATAACCTCTCCTATGCCAGCTGCACCCTGTTAGGTACGACATAATCAAATTAAAAAATGCAGTAGAATTGAAAAATAAAATGTTGCATCAACGTCAGATCACCTTATCGTTTTTAATGCGAACAGAACGTTATGAGAAATGCAATCAAACTTAATTACTTTGCCAAATGATACCGTAATCAAATGCTATCCTCTTAATGTTTAAAACTTGTGTATACCCTAAAGTGTGTAAGAACCTAAGCTATTCAATTGCTTGACATCTAATATTGCACACATAGTCGCAATGGAATCTTCAACAAGATGGGAACTTCCAACCACGCCTTTGTGCCAGCAAAGGGGACAACAAATTGTCCTTCTCTTCCTCCCTTAGTCTCTAGCCAAATCACACAAGAAACTCTTCCAAAAGGCTCTCACAAAGAATGGCAAGCACTATAGAGAGTTCTATTAGTTTTTTGTAAAACCAAAACTAATAATTAGAAGTGGTTGAAAAGATGACTTTATACCTAGGTTAATTAACTTGTTAAGTTTGCTAATAAGTCATTGATCTTAGCACTTAATTAAACCATTTTAATTAAGTCCTTATTAGTTAATTAAACTAGTTTATGATTTAAGTCCAACCTAAACCGTTATATTCCCAATTTAATCCATAATGCAGCTTTTTGTGTGTGACCCATTACCTTTCTTACATATTGGCAATGAAATTGAACTATTAATCTTTGTTCATTAATTTAAATGAATCCAACTCATATTAAATCAATCAATTTAATTTCATAGACAAAGATTGACATCTAGCAATACATTATAACCACCTAACTGTTAGAAGAGTCAAAATATTCTTTGATAACCTTTTAGTGTGTAGTTCATCAGTGTAATTCATTCTCACATCATTTATCTCAGAGATGATAAGAGCTTGGTGTAGTGTCTTCTTTTGTTAACTTCCATATTTGTTCCTGCAATTAGATCATTAGTTTTATAAAGACTTATGAAATGTATTTCATAATCTCCCAATTACCTTGACCAAGGATTTGATTAAGTTCTATCAACCAAGAATTAATAAGATATTTCCCCTTAAATCACTTGGGATAATGATTTCTATCTGGACCACTCATTTGCCTTCATATGCTTCATACTATTCTTAAAGCCATCTTGATTTGGCACCCTTGGTAGGATCCGTAGGGATGAAATCAAAGTATAGTACTCCACATATAAGACAACTTGGTGTTTTAAGTTTAAGGAGTAGTTACATGATTGACACATGAAAAGTATTGCATAAACACTAGAGTGAGATACCAAATGCACTTCTCATGTCGGGTCATGTTCAATGAACTTGATTTCCCATGGCAAGCACCCACATGCTAGCTTCAAGTATCTCTATACTTTAACCTATGAGAGCAGTTGCTTACTTCATACGTCATGAACATAGCACATGCTAATATTTGAGCATTATTGATCACAATACAATTCCTTTGTAAAGCATATCTAGTTCACTGGATTTTATCTAGGTAGGTATAAATAATAATTAAATTACAAACTTATAGATAAGGAACTACCTCAATGTTGTTATAAATAACAAAATGTCGCACATTAATATCTAGAATTGATTTGCATGCAACTAAAAGTTGGCTTGTAGAGCTTATACCAACAATCTCCCACTAGCACTAAAGCCAATTGCTTATTTATCTAATACCAATCTTTTCAACGTGAGTAATATGTTTTTTTGGGATAATGCTTTAGTGAGAGGATTGACAACATTATCTTTAGTGGCTATACGCTCTATGCTAATGTCTCTTCTTCTAATGATCTCCCTGATCACATGGTAGTGTTACAATACATGTTTGGATTTTTCATGAGACCTTGGTTCCTTTGGTTACGTAATGGCTCCATTTCTATCACAATATAATGGTATTGGATCAACAATGCTAGGAACCACATCGAGTTCAATTATGAACTTTTTAATCCAAATAACCTCTTTTGTCGTCTCAAACGTAAATATGTATTTGACCTCAGTTGTAAAGTCTACGATTGTCTCTTGTTTGGAATTCTTTTAATTGACTGCACCTCCATTGAGTGTGAATACATATCCACTTTGTGTCTTGCTGTCATCCTTATCAATTTGAAAGTTTGCACCCACATAACTCTTAACTTGGAGTTTGCCTCTTCCATAAACTAGAAATGCATTTTTAGTTCTTCGCAAGTACTTCAGGATGTTTTACACAACTATCTAATGATGCTCATTAGGATTAGTGTGGTCTTTTCTCATGACACTCAAAGCATAAGACACATCTGGTCTAGTGTATAGCATTGCAAACATGATAGATATTATTGTTGAAGCATATGGGATATTATCCATGCAGTTTCTCTCCTCCCAATTCTTCAAACACATGTCTTCGAAAAGATAGATGCCATGAGATATAGGCAAGTGCCCCCCCTTGGACTTCATCATGTTCAACCTTTTTAGCACCTTGTCTATGTATGTGGATTAGGAAAGACCAAGCAACCTTGTTTATAGATCT